CTCTGCTAGGCGAGGATTAAAGAGACCCAATTGCTATGAAAACAACGATGGCAGTGGGAAGAAACGTAAGTTGAACTTAATCCTAGTGTTTTCTCCTTGTGTGTGTTTGTTGCACTAATAGTTCTGACAAACATGATTTATTCAATTTTCAGAGCTGTGTTTAACTGGTTTTGTATCCTATGAATCAAAATCTTCTGTCATGAGAACCTCACCTGACCATTGTGCCGGGGGGGGGGAGAGAAGAGAAGATAGATAGTGGGCGGCACGACGATAAAGCTCATGTCTATAGACTTTGAATTTTGTTTACATCCCCTCCAAGTCAATCGTCAATAGTCTTGAAAGTTGGTACAGTTGTACTTTGGACCATCGCAAAACTTTCCTCCAACACAATGTACTACAAAGAAATTCACAATTGACAGGGCTGAAGCCGAGAGATCCTCCTCCTAACGTCCTCCCTCCTCCTTGCCAGTAATTTTCAATGTTTGCACACTCCCGCTACAGGCAGTGGGCCTAGTCTCGCAGCAGGGCTCTAGGGTATGAAAACAGATGAAGGCACATAGCAGACGAGCGCGGATTTTAATACAAACACAATAAGTACAAGAAGGTGTTACTGTGCTCACTAAAGTTTTACATAATTGCGGCATTACACATATCATGTCGCAAGACGAGGAGATTCTGGTATCCCCGACTAAAGAGAAAAGCAAGAGCATTCAAGCTATCGATCGAGAAGCAGTGCACCGAATCTGTTCTGGACAAGTATAACCTATTGATTGTTTTGATTTTAAGTTTGTCCTCAATTTACTAGCACTGAAACTATAACTATTGTCATTTATAGGTAGTTTTAAATCTAGCAACTGCCGTTAAAGAGCTTGTTGAAAACAGTTTGGATGCAGGTGCCACTTCCATTGAAATTCGCTTGCGAGAATATGGAAGTGAACTTGTTGAAGTTGTTGACAATGGTTGTGGAGTCGAGGAAGCCAACTTTGAAGGCTTAAGTTTGTTATTTCATCTCATTCACTCTTTTAAATATTTTTTTAGTTTTGAGTATTTTACTAATTTTGTTACGTTTTTCTTCCTAGCCCTGAAACACCACACCTCCAAGCTTAGGGAGTTTACTGATCTACTTGGAGTGGAAACATTTGGCTTTAGAGGGGAGGCATTGAGTTCTCTCTGTGCTCTAAGTGATTTGACTGTCACAACTAGGCATTCATCCAGTAATATGGGTACAAAGTTAATTTATGATTCAAGAGGACACATTATCAGAAAAAGTCCATGTGCTCGTCAGGTCTGCACAATAATACCTTTAAGTTTACCAATCAAACTGCCAATTAT